GCCGTCCTCCGCGAGGCCTTGATCGAGGAGGGGGCGGAGAACTTCGTCCGGTGGATGCCCGGCAAGGAGATGGTGAGTGACGGGCTCACGAAATGGAGCGACAACGGAGTGTTGTTGCAGGTCCTCAGAGAGGGCCTTTGGAGCCTGGTGGATACAGCTGAAGCCAGGCGGCTGCGGCAAGAGGCCGCGGAGCGCAAGAAGCGCTATGTGCAGCAGACTCGAGCGGACCGTTCGGCACCATAGGGGGTTTGTGTGAAACGGAACCGGCCCCGCCGACGGTCCCTCGATCGGAGCTGCAGGGCTCGAGCGGTAGAAAAGGTTCGGTCGCTGCCACGTTTAAGTATTATACATGACAGACACTGCAAACAGCAAATCAGAGATGACTTCATGGTGGGTTCTTGAGCAACTTGTATCGGTGGGTCTATTGATCTGAAATGTCAGAAAACATGACCTCCCCGTCAGATCTTCAATGTTCGCCATGCATCCCGAGGAACCTCCGTTGAAGTGTAAGCAATAAAGGTCTTTAAAGGGAAATGTTTCAACAAATTGGAGTTAATTACCCTTGTTGATTGTCCACATTGTTCTGCAACTGGTCAGATGGGCGTGAGAACAATAAGCCAAAAGCCACCAGTGCCTGCGCGCCAGGCAAGCATGCTGGTCAAGATCGCAAATGAACAGCCACTGAGTTTGCAGATGTTCGCAGTAGATTCTGATTTGCTGATTGTGCAGCACATAAGTGGATTGACAGTATTGGTATGTATATGGCTATTTGATCATGTGTGCTTTAATGTGCTTTATTTCTTTTCAGTTGACTTCAGGTGATACAGTCCCTTTCAACCACGGTCGGATGGCTTTTCCCTGTGGCCCTGGTAACTTCTTGACCAACCATGTGCTTCACTTCGCCCACCGCAGTCCTAACGCAGTCCGCTCGCATCAAGGCGCATCAAAATGGAGCAGCAGGACTGACGACCGCCGACGACCGGTCGTGTCGGTCTGACCGGGTAGTCCGCCTGGTCGGATGACCGATCGTGGGGTGATTCGCACATATTCTGATCGATGTGCGCGTGGCCTCACAGCAGGAAAACCATGGAAAACCAGTGGGGAACCAGGATGAAGTTGTCAGTGCGGTCCGAAGCAGGCGATTCTCAGTGGAGATTGGACCTCTTTCAACATCCACTGGATGACCTATATATTATATTATCCTATAGCCTATATAGTTTTCTTTTTTCTCGGACATCCCGGCAAGGCAGTCCTTGTTCAATCCTGCCAGGGTGGAAGTGGACAGCTTGTTTTGTGAGGGGGCCCCTTAGGTGCGCTTAATGAAGCACGTCTGTTTGGCTTCGCCCACTGATCTGGAGGGTGCTTGTCGCACAAACTAGTCTTGTGAACATGCCGACCGCAGCCGCGTGCGCGAAGCCTGTTTGTCGAGCAGGTGAAATGAAGGAAAGAGACGTTCAGATGTTTAGCACCATATCTCCTGAAATTGGACGAAGTCCCTAAGATATGTTATATTATTTTTTTGAACGCAGATGTACAATCGACTGCTATTTGTAGACCCCAAAATGAGTCGAACATGGAAAGACCAGGGCCTTTATCAGATTAATCATTAGAACGTCCCCCTCCTGGGAGGGGTTGCTACCCTTGACATAGCACACTGGCTTACCCTGAAGATAACTGAAGATTTAAATTAAAGCCTTCACCTTTAAGGGGCCTACTTCATCTCACATGATCTCAAGACCAGCCAATGCACCATCCTCACCTGCACCGCCTCCACAAGAGCCAAAAACCATTTCAACCCTCTCACCCATGTCACCAAGCACAACAACACCGCACAGCTCTCCCCCCACCGGCGATAGCCGGTGAACGGTGACCCACTCGCTGTGCCATGCTGACGTTGGACCCCACTCGCTTCCGGAGACCCAAGAACAAGGCGCCCACCAGGTGCAGAGCCGGGGTTTCCGCGGAGCTGGGAAGATTCAGTGGCGGCGCAGTTCGGCGAAAGGATGGAACTTGGGACAAGGGCGGCCTTCATAGCCCTTCATGATCTACAGAGCATGTCTATAGTTTGGCCTTCAGGTGTCATGTTGTATCACCAAAGGTATCCTACCGCAATTTGAGACACATCCACGCTCGAAAGTTTGTTGGCATTGAAGCTTTGGGGTGTGCTGTTGGGAATTCTTTTGAACAACAAGCACGATTGTAGCATTGCTGTTGATGTTCTGTTTTGCTTGGATCGTTTTGCCCAGTGCAGCCTTGCTGTTTCTCTCACCCTGCAGGCATTTGTATTTGGCCAACTGCGGCCACCTGGCAGGAATTTTACTGGTGTCCACTTCTCCAGGGACTGCTTTTGCATGCTCCTGGCGTTGGTACCCCAATCATCCCCAATAGAGAAGGGGCTGGCATGGACTGTTTTAGAGCCAATTGAGGCTGCGAGATATCTTGGTTGACCTATCTCAAAGGTCGTTGGCTACATGGTGGACGGGTCAGGCTCCAGGTTGAACGACCCATTCACCAATTCAGAAGAGGCCGTTGAGTGGCTCGGATGCAACCCCCCCGACAAGCGCGGTCCAACGCACACGCCATTGGAGTGTTTCCTATACCACTGGACCCACTGGCTAGTGTCGTGGTATGTCGTGGTATAGTGTATCGTGTTCCCATTCCTTGAAGCCACACCAGTGAAACCACACGTAAAACACCCACGCCAGATGTCCTTCCATCTCCGATTCGACCGTCATCGGTCGCCTTCGGTGGCCCATCCCGTGCAGTTTTGGAGGCCAACAATGCGGCGACACCGCTGAGGAGGTCTTGCGGCGCCTGCGGGAAGGGCAAGCGGAGGAGGAGGAGGCACGGAGGAGGAGACCGGACCAACGACGGAGGAGACGGAGAAGATCGAGGAGAAGGGCCATATTAATATGGCATACGAATGTGTTTGGAGAATAGGATTAGGTCCTATAATGGTTATAGTAGTTAATCCTGATTGCTCCGGCAAGAGTATCCTTCTATATATAATGTTATATAATATTTAGTATTGAATGGCCTGATGAAGTCTCAGCCTTTGGGACAACAATTTGGGGACCCCATGGCTGGTCAGTCCCTGCCCCGATCGACTGTTGGCAGGGTGGGTGCATGAAACGGTTTGTAGGGTGGGAATGCCAGGAGAATTGAAAGACATATATAGTATACATATAACTATAACTACCATTTAATACATCGTTGCCGTTACCATCCTTCTTCCAACACTGGTCTCGTTTGGTCTCGCCTTCGTCTCACCTTGCCACGGCTGCCACGGTCTGGGGCTGTCATCGCCAGTTTGATACGGCAGTCTGGGGCTGTCATCACTGGCGGATCAGAGAACTAGGAACCACATTCCAGACCCATCTCGGTTTCCAGGGCAAAGCATTCTTGTGCAAAAAAAACATTAAACAGGTGTTGATAAAATCGTTTGTAGTTATAGTCATAGTGGCATACAACATGACATATGGCAAAGGCTCTTTCCCTCATGATCGCAGAAGGGCATCAATCCGTGACGTTCCTTCCAAAATAGTAGGTGGTAGTATGTAGTTTTCAGCGTTCAAAGCATCCTTTTTGTCTCACCCTCACCCTAGCATTCTCCAGTCTTCCGCTGTTGTTCGTTTCGATCATTTGAAAAGGTTGTAGCACTGCACCTGGGCCCGGGCGTCACCTATGCCAGCTTCGTGCACCCGACTGCGGCCGCCAGGGCGAAGGTGGGGAGCCTAGATCCATGGATATCCATGGTGGGTATTTCATGGTGTTTCTGGACGATGGATTATTTTCATAGTGGATGATCCATGTATGTTAAGTTTCGCATATATATATATATTCTGATGGCATCTCTTTGCACTTTGCTGCCCAATGCGCTGCGCCAGCTTGTGAATCTTCTGATAAACAAGAGGTTTATATAATTCCCCACAACGGTGCAGGATGGAAGATTGCAGTGGCGCCTGAACCACCACAGCAGCCCCCAAATAGACTGGAAAGAGAAATCCCTTCACACAACGGCATGCACTAAAAGCTGCCGGACCATTGTTTGGGGGATGAATATCGGAGAGGTTGGTTTGAGCTGGAGGATTGAGCAACTGCCAAATCAACCACGTGTTGTATTCCCTTTCAGCATGTCTTGAGGATCGTCATCAAAATCCACCTTCGTGGACCCAGCAGACCGAACAGCATGGACTGGGCTGCCCCAGACCTGCCATGGTTTTGGTGGTTGACCTCACCGAGGCCCAGTTGGAGTTTGAGTCTGATCACGCTTGGCGAGTGAAGTTTGCGGAGTTGGAGGATGAAGTTCGGGAGGTGTCTGGAGTGTCATGGCAAGCATCCTGTCCAGCCCGTTTTGTTTTTTTTTTGTGTGTGTGTTCCTTTTTCTTCGGTTGGTGCAGCTCGAGGAGTCAAAAACGCCCCGGTTCACATGGCCAGGGACACAGCCGGGACACGGCCGTGTCCCTGACAGTTGGTGTTCTTCATGCAGTTCTTGGAGGTGCCAACAGGTTGACGCCCACGCTGTCCCATAAAAAGAGATCGAAGCTGTACGATGCCATGCCAATATACTCCCCCGCAGATCAACATGGAACCCCAAAACCATTGGGTTGTAGAGGCAAATGGTCGAAACCCGGTCCATTCTCAGGTTCTATGGGATCGTTTGCGGGAGAGTATGAATCTCGATGTTCCAGGTCTGTGGGGGATATGGATGGGAGGTATGGATGGGCATGGTTATCCCTTCTTTTTCAGAGACTCCCATGGCATTGGACCGAGGTACTCCTTCCCAGCAGTGTGGAGTCCACAGCACACGTGGAGGTGCCAGGCTGGGTGCACGAGTCACGAGAGTTCGACCTTTTTGTGCATTCCGCTTCGATCTGAAAAACGCAGTTTCAACAGGGGACCACGCCCCCTTTCTTTGGAAGCCTGGCATGCCCTCAACCATATAATTACTACAAGAGGACTCCATTCTGACATATGCCTGGCATGCCCTCAACCATATAATTACTACAAGAGGACTCCATTCTGACATATCTAATACAAGCGAGCTACACCGGCCTCCAACATGCAGACAGTAGGGGAGTGGCCGCGGTGGCCTGTCATTGGGCCAACAGCATCCTGCATGGTGTCTCTTCTCGTGACTCCAATTGCTTCTCAAAGCTCCCAAACCTTTACATGGTTGTAAAACCATGTAAAACCAACCTTCTGACCACAGCAACTCCCAAACCTTCTCAAAGCTCCCAAACCTTTACAGTCCATGGATGTAACGTTTGACCATTGGTTCCTTCGATGCACGTCTCACCCTGCTGCTTTCGTCGTCCCTGCGGACGTCGAGACCGACTGACCGACGTCGAGACGCCGCGTGTCGACCGACCGACGTCGACCGACGTCGCGAGGAGTTCACGTGGTGACCGACTTCGTGAGCGAAATGGAAGCACAAGAGCTGCTGCTGCAGATCGACCAGCGACCCTGGAACACCAGCAGCTGGGAGGTCTACCTGGGTGGATGGAGGTGACGTTCAGGTGGTGGTGTTAGTTTGTGTTTGTTTGTTTATCAATGGCAAGTGGCAAGTTAAAAGGGGGTAGAAGGAGACAAAGGCTTCTTTGAGTGGCCTTTTGGATTCTGATCCACAACTTTTCCACCAGTTTCGGGCTTGGGGCGTCTCCGGTTTTGAGGTCCCAACAAAAGGAAAGGAACCGAGGTTCCAACTGCTGGACCCAACGGTCCCAACTATGGGGCCCCACAGAGTGCGGCTTGGTCTTCCCAGAGTGAATTCACGTAGAATATGAACACACTATATGAACAGATATATAGGCATTATTATAGGATCTGATTGGAGTGTTTGGATTGACCAGTTGAGGTTCAGGCCCCAAGTGACGGAACGTTGTGGCGTGGTGTTTGCCAGAAGCATGCTATAGGGCTGCTAGGAGCTATATAAATCTGATGGCGTCAATTGACTTGTGTGCAGATTGCCTACGTTACATAGAATGAAGCGGCGGTTACTCGCAAAAAGGAACGTCTTGTACAGAAAGAGCAACAAGCTTCCCATGGCTTCATTTCTGAAGTTTGCAGACCATCCAATGGGGTTTCTCGACCTTCCATGGCCGCACAGCTCGTTTTTTGTCCGCTCGCTTGAGGCATCAAACGCCGGGTGCAGCCGCGGCGGCTGCATTTTGGAGAGTCGGACCGTTGTGGTCGGGAGAGTGGCTGGCTCGAAAGGCGCCATGTTCAAGATGTTCATCCAATTTCTTGAACGAAAATACTGGAAACCCGAACAACATGTTTTATGGGCATTGGCCATTGGTCCTGTTCTATCGGTACGATCCATTCCGTCACCATGGCACTCATGCAAGCATCCCGGTAGAGTGCGGAACGAGAACAGCCGGAAGGATTACCTTCCACAATTGTTTGAGATTAGTTTGCTGGCCGACATACACAAGTAGTGAAATGGAATGGACGTGAGATTTCTGTGCCCTTACATGATTTTACGGGGTGTATCGGGGTGTATCGGGGTTCGAAGCGGCAGGTTGAGGTTTGCTTCAACCCAGCCCTAGCGAAGAACTCTACTTTCACCAGTTCACCTGATCCATTTGCACCTGGTCCCGTTGCTGCTGCACGTCATGTCGAAGGCCTTACGACGGTTGCACACATGGGCGACAATCTTCCCGCGATCAGCCAGGGACCAGCCGGGACCGTCGCCGCTGAGGCACTACGGCCGCGCCTTTGACTATGCGAAGCTGATGATCGCAGATCCCGGAAGCTCGGATGGGGGAAGGCAGTCCGGTCCGGAGCGGTTGAAATGGGGGGGGCGGGAATGATGACCTCATCAGGGATGGTGCTGGAGCCACTGGGAATCTCAGGTCCAAGATGAGCTTGACCCTACAGGACATTGCGGGACACTATAATAATTAAGATATATTAAGATATATATATATACATAATAAGATACATACCTACATTTGTTTAAAAAAAGTGTAATCACATATATATTATAATATATTATATATCCATGTTCCACTCCACTTCCAGGCATTTATGTTCATCAATCCGCCCACTTGGCAGATGCTGAAATCCATCCAAGGCACTGTGCCAGAGATGCCAGACTTCTGTCAGCCTTTGCTCCAGCGGCTGGAGCAGACCGCTCTGATGCCGCATCGCATCGATCAGCTCACGGTGAATGAGTCGCTCCGCTCAGCGAGTGGATTTCAAGGGGAAGGTTGGGGAGGTATGGTGGGTTGGTGATGATGTGGTGAGCTGAACTCAACGCAAGACACGACCTAGCATTAGCAGGATTGGTTAGGGGTATCCATGATGTTTGTTGGTGTTATGTTTCTACATGGAGGCCTGTGCAAATGATCAGCAGTTGAAACAGATTGGGTCGTTGGAAGTACCAGTGAGACTCGCTGACCAGCGCAGTTGGCGTCATTTCCACACTGCTCAGGTACGAGGCGGGCATCGGCATCGCTGCCCACGTGGATGCTCATAGCGCCTTTGAGGACACCATTGCAGCGGTGAGCCTGCACTCGGGCATCGCGCCTCAGTTTCAAGGAAGATGGAGAAGGGGATCGATCGGTTTGAACAAAATGTACGCAATGATATAACAATGAATGCATGTATGATTTAATGTGTGCATGAATGATCAATGCACGTGGCGTACTGGTCAGGTTATCAAAGCAAGGGCTTCAAGATGCTTCAAGATTTACGTCGTATACGACCAGGTCTTGTTTTCTGTTGTTTTCTGGTTGTTCAGTTCCCCCGTGCACACTGAAGCGAGGGGTGGTTGACACAAACCAGAAGACATATACTGTACCCGCCGTACATGGAGAACGGCAACGGGCAGTCCGGCCAGGTGATCCCATAAAGCCACGGATGGTCCAGGTATATGTTTTGCATGCAGGACACACACAGGTATGATGATATGCATGCATCGTATATTTATATATATATATATCATTACTACACAGGTAGTATGTTTGATATCTCCTTGCTTTGAGGTCATGGAGTTTCGCAAGCCTGAGCCTGCAACTCGGCGCCTTTAGCTGCCTGCCGATTGAAGGGTTTGGAGGTTTCACTGAGGGGGGGCATTCCGTGAGGTTTGAAAACCGGTGGATGATTTGAGGCGCCCTTTAACCCAAGCCCTTGGTTCAAGGCATTTGTTTACCTTTTGTAATTAGGGGCCCTAGGGGTGTTGAAGACTTAGAGAGCGATATTGAGATAGACCAAAAACTGAACTGGTGCTAGTGAATCTGTGGCGCTGGCTGACTTGAGAATGGAATATCCCATCGCAGTTCTAGCATTTCACGGTGTCGGAGATCATTCCAGAGCAGATCCAATTAAACGACATCTATGATTGATGCGACCAGCAAGAAAGAGGGAATGCCCACACCTGAGTTTCCAAAGATTCAACAATCCTGGGATGCCCTGAAGGTTCAGCAACCTTCATTCCCCACGAAGCTTGACCAACCAGGCAAGTTGACCAACTTGACCTTCCGGCGTGCACTTCGCGCGGTGTTCTCTGAGGACTCTTCTGGGAAGGTCTCCATGGGCAAACACCACCGGATGGCTCCAGCGACTCCGTAGCGGCCCCAGTGGAAATTGGCAGGTTCTTGCGTCCCACCATGCCCACGTTTGAGGAGTGCTGTGGAACTGACCAAGAACGTGTGGCTGCCACCCAACTCCCTGCCACTTGGGCACAGAAGAGGAGGCAAGGCGCTAGATCAGAGTTATTGTTCCCTGATTCCATGCTTGTGATTTTTCAGCTCATACCGTATATAGGGACATGTCAAAGGGAAGGGCCAGACCGACAGGGAAGAAAATGGGCGGCTTGCGCAGAAAACAAATTTCTTTAGCAAGCTTTGGGCACTGGATCTAGCCCATTGACAGACAATGCTTTCCAATGTTTTTGACACTTCCGGGACGTGTCAGCCGGTTTTCCTTGGACCTGCCGCGGCGCCCAGGTTGATCATCACAGGCGAAGCGCGCTATGCTTGGCTCCATGGGATCGCTTGGAGAAAGACTGATTGTGTCGAAGAGGGTGCCTTAGCCCTAAGCTCTTTGTAATCAATTTTGAGGTGATGTTTGGGGGGATGGGGGACTGGGGTGCCTAAGTCGAAGAGGGTGCCTAAGATGTTGTATTGCTTTGGATGGGGGGCTGGGAAACGGAGCGTGGAGATGTCTTACAATCTTTCTCGGCTTTAGCGAGGCCTGTGTCAGAAGTCAGGAAAAGGACGAACCCACGTTCCGCGCCGCGGAAGTGGCGTTCCGGTTGCTGGCCTAGTTGGTGCGCAAGAAGTGGACTTCCTTTTTGTTGAAGTCTTCAAATAGATAGAAACGATTTCCAACATATTTTTAGTGGAATTTACTGTTCTATTTTTGGGGGGACCACTACACACACCTATACCATCCTGTCTATGTGTCCTGTCTGGAGATCCGGATGGTAGTGTGCAGTAGGGTAGTCCAGCCAGGACAGACAGGATGCTTCTCGTACAACACACACACACACATATATATATATATTCACACATAAAGCTCATGAAAACAACCGAAACAACCTTCAATGATCTACACGGCAAACCCTCGACATGGGAAAATCAGGGGGCATGGAAAACAAACTGACATGGGCCCCAACAGCGAGGCCAAGAGGTGAACCCGATAGAAACCACCTATGTCGTTATCCAAGAAAGAGTCACTGAGAGGTGAATATGTGTTCATCGCGTATATGCAACCATTATTCATACATATATATATATATATCATATAATGGATTGTTAAACTCTCAACAGGGTATCTCAGCGACAATCTAGCATGATGTCACGGCTGAGGCAAAGTCATCCCTCGGCAGCGGCGCGTGTCGCTGACCTTCCGTCGGGCGAGGGGCACGCCTTGTGCATGCCCTTGGCCAACAATGTGTGACAGCCAGACGCTTGGTCTAAATACCAAGACACCCCAGGTAGAGAATATTCTTTGCCAAAGACCATTGAAAGTACCCCAATGTAAGTAAAGAATCCATACATGGGGTGTTCGGAATATGTTTTATCGTGTTTTATCCGCCTGCTGGCGGGTGGCGGGTGTTGTGGAAACCCATGATCAGACCAGTTGGCCCCAGTGTGTTTTTGCAATTCGAAAGTGGTTGTGAAGATGAGACACGTCCTGACAAGAATGGCCCTCGGCCTTTTGTATATGTATCACCATGCTTGTATAATTTTGTATATTAGCCCCCAAGAAAGGGAGAACTCTTCCAGTGAGTGCCCTCTGAAAGCATGACCCTTGCTTTCGACCACAGAAACCTCGTTGGTGTGCGGACCCTTGCAACTTGGGAAGATTCTTTGTGCCCCCGCCCCGCTCCTCTTGGAACAAGGCAAGCCATGCAAAAGAAATGACCTTTCTTCTCTCAGGACACCAGAGGCGCATGGCCTTCCAAGCCGCATCGCGCAGTGACCTCGTGTCTCACGTCGGCGCAGCAAAAGAAATCGAACAGCTGGGCCGAAGAGGGCCGTGATGTTGATAAGCTTATGTGATGAAATAGATTCAACAGTGAATGCCCTGCGACAAACGGAGGTTGTTTCTATTTATCTATGCAGCAGAATCTAGCTTTTGGGATGCAGGCACCGCTGTCAAGCACACGAGATTCATTGTTCATTTGGCGGCAGAAAGAGCACAATGCACGAGACCTGCTGGGAAACGGTGGTGTGGAACTCTTGAAGGTGACTCCAGTTGCACTGTAATAAGTATTTGGCGGCTAAGTGTTTTGCGGTTACAAAGACGAAGCTCAAATAAACGAAGAAGCCCTGGTTCCTTGTAATTACCAAGAGTGGATTGTGTTTCTGTATCTCCTGGAACGGTTGGATTTCGTTGGCAGTTGTTCTTTCGCAGGAGCGGCAGTTGCAGAAGGTGGGCAATGAGATCAAGGTGGGAAGGGGAGCACCCAACGAGCATTGTGCATACATGGCCTCTCTATAGTGATCCCGTGCGATTCTCAAACAGATAAGACATGGTGTCCAATACATGTTTAGTGGTTTAGTGGACATCTAATTACCTTTCTATCTATTTTGGGGTCATTATATAACCATACCAGCTCTACTATCGGGAGTTTACCATGCTGAGAGTCGATGCGGGGCTGGCTGTGTCCCCCATCCTGACCTCTTGGGTACACCAGTGTGTTACCGTTGTTGGGCATGCCCAAAGGAACTCTGGATATATATACATATATGTATATATACATACTCTATATATATATATATATGTGCAAAAGTGCATATATATATATGTAGAATATAATTTATATATATATACATATATACGCATGCTGCACTGCACATGTATGTTTTTACTTTTGTGTAGATACTGGAAATGATGAGTGCGTATTGCAATTGGCCATGCCTTTGGAGTAACTACACGCAAACTTCAGCCCTTTAATTACCATCAGCATGGGGTTTACAAGGACTTTATGGAATACAAGCATCATAGCAGAATTCTACCTTTATGTGAAGATTTTGGCGTTTCGTTTTTGTTGTTTTCCTGAGAAACTCAGGTGAAGCAGGATGAAATGCTCACGATCATCAAGACGCTCGACCAGCAGACCTGGAAAAAGACACTCCCGACACACCTGGTACGAAGAACACGGTCTTCCAGGTGAGATTCTGAGCCCTTCCTTCATTTTAGGACATGATTTTAGGACAAGACTTGGTCATGGTATAACATCTAACCGAATCTAACCATGAAGATGCCGATAATGCTGTCGAAAGAAAGGAGCGCGGCCGGTGGTTTTGCCATGTTTTGGAGGCATTGCAGAATCTTAAGTGGAGGAGCAACCCAAGTCAGATCTCAGTCGATGGGGTCAAACTGTGTGGGTCGACTGGGTGCGGTCTTCACCTCGTTCCCTGTCACACCTCTCGTTCCATGCCATGTGCCGTTCCAATGCAACATGCATGTACATACCCAGAAACTCGACGGCATCACAGGGGTGAGAGGGAACACTTAATAATGCCAAGGTTGATGTTTCCATTTTGTATAGACCTATGGTTTGTTCCCACTCACGTCAAGCTATTTGTATACGCATTTTCCTCTACTTGTTTTCACGATCGCGATCGCCAGAATTGCTAAGGAATATTGGCGTCTTGGCTGATATGCTTAGTTTGCTTGGATGGGGGGTTGCCATGTGTTGTCCTTGGAATAGACACACGTTGAAGAGGTGAACATCAACCGGAAGATGCACATGGTGCATTCTGTTGGGGAATGCAGGGTTGTGACCCACCATCATGAGAGCCTTGAGAAAGAATAGTGGAATAGAAAGAATAGTGGAGGAGGGAGGGATCGTGTGAGATGTTCCATCGATTCCATCCCTAACACATCCTCCGGCCGAGGGAAGAAGGTCCGTGGAGAGCGAAGCACAGAATTTGAACCTCGTTCGAATGCGCGACGACGATCGGTGGTGAAGGGGTGAACATCTGAAAAGAATTGAAAAGGACACCATGACCGGTATGGCTATGGCCAGGTAGGCAATGTTTTGTAACGTTTCCATATGATTCCATATGCAGAGGGTTTGGGAAGTAGTGATGCAAGGGTCGTTTAGTTGGCCACAGCCATCATCAGTGATGCAACCACACGCTTTGTGCGCCCTACGCCTGCGTTGTTTTAGTAGGTATAGGATTGCCTCATTCCCTCGTTTTAAAGCATTTGCAACTTGGACTGTCCACACAAACACGTCGTTTCAGACCAATGCTTTTGGAACCCTCAATGAGCCTATGCGTGTTTCCATGGGCCTATGTTTACACTGCAAATGGAACCATCAATGGTCTTATCAAGTCTCATCGTAGCTGATCTTCAGACGCAAACTGAATATGGAAGGACGGTATATCCTCGAGACCTTGTAGAATTTTTGGTATGGCACTAGGGCACCAACCCTTTAAAGAAAACAGGGCACCGACCCCTTCGGGGTCATGACATCATGACTCGTTCTGAATATGGGTTTGACTCCTCAAGGTGCCACATATTCCGTTTTGTTCCCACAATGTGACCCAAGGCATGACGAGCGCAGTTCCCCCATCAATCTCTTGGGTACCTCTTTGATTGCATATGCTGCAAATACCTGACCTTTGAACACATGCTGCGATGTTTGCTCCTGCATAGCTTCTCCCCTCCTGATCTTTTGGAAGCATGGTTCTTGGCTTCGTTCAAGAGCCTGATCAGATGCAAGTTGATGGAGGAGAAAGGACATCCCATCAAAATACTCTGACTTCTGAATGGCTTTTGAGGCATTGCACGTTCATGAGCTATCATGATATCGATGAGGTTGAGGGAGGTCATGTTTGAGATGCCAGGGGGAGTAAATGGTAATCAAGATTATGGTCGATCCTTACACTGCACCACCTGCGCAGCCAAGGTCCTTCCATGAGGCGTTCTTCCAAAGTCCTGCAGGCTGCACCTTGGGCCATCATGGGCCAGAGGTAGATGCTTGACCTACAGCTGTATCCGTTCATTGATGTGATTGAGTGCTGCCCTTCAGAACCTTCAATGGATAGTATTTCCACAAGAGGTTTCGTCCTTTTCATACAGCAGCTCTGAGATCCATTGTTGTCCTTCCTTTTGTCCATTGTCCTGTTGAGATCCTTTGGATTCCAGCACATCCAGGTAGGCACCATGTGGGTGGATGAACCTCAACAAAGAAACACCGAGCAGGCTTCTATAGGCTTCCCAGGGCGCCCAAACCCCAAAGTTAGAACTAGAGCGGATGTATGTGTTGCAGCTGGGATGGCCTAGGGCACTGGGTATTGCCACGCGACAACATCTCAAAATTTGCTGTCCTGTATATAGTCTTGGCCAATTCCTGTGAAGAGGGTCCCTGCTGCCAACTTGAGCATTACGTAACATTAACAGTCAGCCAAGCAGCCAAGTATAGTATAGTCTAGTGTAAGCCTAGTTGTAAGCCTATAGTGTAAGCCTGCTTCTTGTCGGTGGTTGAGCATTTCGTCTCCCTCGTGTGAAAATGCGAGTGGTATTTGGATGGTTTTTGTAGATTTCCCATAAGGCAGGTTTGACTTCTCTTGTTACAGCCACTTCAGATCCCAATGAGAGCGGTCACGGAACGAATCGAGTCTTGGGACCGGCAGGAGGCAAGCTCTCAGCCGCCAGGACGCTACCAGCTGCAGCCTCATATCCATGACATCATCATGCACGGAATGTTGCACACACACACACCCCTACATCATCAACCCCTCAAACCACCCAAATGTATAGGTAAATATGCAACAATGTCATGGAGTGCTTGGGCACCAGCAATCTCAGAGGAGACTGAAGTCACACGTCAATGTTGCGGATGGTGACCTGTTGGAGCGCAGTGCTGCAGTATATATACATAAGTTCTTGTTTGCCACGGTGCTGTGTACCTGGAAGTCATGAGTCCTAAGATGCAAAACCTATTGGATTGGTCATTCCCTGCCCTATTGAATATCGCGTTGGATTGTTTTTTCGTTCTCGGAACACTTCTAGCCGTTGTCAAGCCAAGCAGGATGTGCGGCTGCTTTGCCAGTGTGGGTGCTTGACAATGCGTGATGGACAGCCACAGCACGCTTAGAAGTGCAGCTGTTCCAGTGAGGGTTCTTCTTCAGGTTGTGGTCCTCAAATGCAATGCAGATTTGATTCTCCCACAGGAAGAAGAATCAGTCAAGAAGATAAACGACATTTGGGCACAAGGATGCATAAGGTTTTATGCTTTGCAGTGCTTTGCACCCCTTGTATCCCTTTACTGTAATTGTGGTTTGTTGGGTTGATTGAATCACTCCTATATACGGTATCTCTATATATATATATACGCGCGTCATGTGCTTTAATTGGTTGAGAATTGAAAGTGAATTTGCTGCATGACTTGAAAAGAGGTAATGGGTGCCTCATCAGCCTACATGGCTTGGGCCAAAAGACGTTCAAGAACGAGTGCCGCAAAACCACTGTCTCAGTACGTACACTGTACACCCCCATGTACACTTCCGGTAAAGGAACCACCATGAACCACCCTTTTCCATGATGCGGGGTGTTTGACACCTCTGCTCCTTTTTGCATTGCAGACTACGGCTGAAGAGGACGTCTTGGCGCCTGGTGGGTTAAAAACATTTGAGCGACAAGCTTCACGAGCTTGGTTAGCAAAAATGATGAATAATTGCCAGTGTTTGCTTGTTTGACCCACTAGTCTTGCTAACCATGCCGGCGTCGGGCCTGTTGGCCATTATCCATGTGGACCAAAGGGTGGCTGACTTGCCTTTTCCAAACATGCACAGGATCGAAGGCTTTGTCCACCTCAGTGCAGGTCAGCCATCCAGGCAGCCCGTCGGGCAGGCATCCCAGGTCTTTGGTTGGTTTGGCTGAGCTGGTGTTCCTCCGCAAGGTCTAGACCCCGTGACAAGGGTTCTATACAACCTGCATGATTTGCATGCTAATATATTATTGTTCGTTTTCTCTCACCAAGCTCTAAGCTCACCCAAGCAGCGGTCAACACTTTCCAAGCCTTGGAAGTGTAACGAAAGGAACTCACGAAAGGCGTGCCATATTCAAACATATTCAATCAATCTATTACATATGTTTATATAAAAGGGCCCACCTTTTCATTCAATGAAGCGCATTAGAGGTGAGCCTGTGAGCCCATTAGATGAGCTTTTGAACAACGCACACCTCTTCATCTAGTCTCGGTACCGTCTTGAAGTCGTTTTTGTGGGTGTTGCTGAACCAAGAGTTATGTTTGTTTGAACGCTTCAGCCTTTGGAAGTGTCTGTTTTTTTTTTTTGTGTGTGTGTATTCTGTGGCCGCGGAGCTTTATACTTGATGACACAGAGCTGTTAGAGACCTGCATGTGCAGCGTGCCTTGCGCTGCAGCCAACCAAGACGACCTCCGGAACCAAAGCAGCATGGAACCTCGAAAGATGATGCAACAAGTTGTAACAAGCTTCAAGCATGTTCCAAGCGCCAAAGCAACGGCATGTATCAACTCGGATGAACAGCACACTGAACGTCAACACTGTCAGACTGGATTCGATGTGACTTTGCTTTCGGATTGCACGCCTTAGATTTAGATCATGAATTCATACGCCTGTTTAGCACAAAAGGAGTGCTGAAGGCATCGTTTCCGGGCGACTGGCATCCCAAGCCGCGTGTGGTAACTGGCGAACAGGTCGACGAGTGTCGCCGAGAATTGGTCGTCGGATGTGCTGTACACGTTGGATGCCCCACTAAACCAAAAAAGTTGTGCAAATTCTCGAACAAGCATGTTCATCGCATGCTAGCGGTGTTGCATCATACACCACCCCTTTGCAAGTCTCAAATGCTTTGGAGGTCATAATCCACTACGTGTGGTGACTGTCATAGAACAGAGAACCGAATCAAGGACACAACGGTTAATCCCCCAGAAATAGTTAAAATGGCACATGTTTTTCCGTTGCAGGCTCAGTGTCAGCAAAAAGTACCAATAGATCCTATAGACTAATAGATGGCTAGAGGCTATAGTCGTTCCTACTGCTAGGATTTATCTATGGACAGCTATAGTCATTCCTACCGATTCCTACCGCTGGACCACAAACAACAGCGGTCGTTTGGACGCTGGATCCCGCCACCGTGTCACGAAGCGTCCAGGAAGGGTTCTGGAGTCTCGAAGCTGAGGGAACTTCCTAACTTCCTGATAGGGCTGGGTGAAAGCTCAGGCTCAGCCAATGTTTCCACTGTCCTTGAGCTCGCCTTACTGGTGCGGGAAGTAGGGAAAGAACAAATTTTGAAGTTCTGGTGTTAGAATCAGGATGGTCGGGCACGTAAGCAAATGATCAGTTTTGAAACACGCGGAATAGATGACGATTTGACAACCGTCGGAAAATGACCTGTTTGCACAAGCCAAATATTAGTACCCACGGAAAAGAAGCAGTTTCTTGTTATTCCAAGGCTGTTTTTGGTGTCCTTGACAGCAGGAACCACCTGGCCATTTCTGTGAAACAAGTTGCTTTATCCTTATCCTCTACCTGCTTCCTCGCACCGTCTATGAATCCCAAAGCTTGGATCCTCGACGAACCAAAAGATGCGGCGGCTTGACACACGTTGAACCCAGAATCAATCATGCGTTTGGTTCTTCCAGCATGACCAACAAGACGGGTGTTTTTCAGGATTTGACACAACCTGTTGTGTCACAGGCTAACGTTGGCGTCACAGGTGCCAAGATTGATTTTGCAGCGTTCAAACTTCAAACCTGCTGTGGCACTGGTCTGGCACCCAGGAACAGCATCCAGCTCGCCAAAACGGGAGGCCGGGTAGTGGAAGCAAGCATGGTGGAGCATGGTGCTGTTTAGGCCAGTGGAACCAACCTCGAGAACTTCCCAGCTTCGCATCACTTCACCAGCTTGAACACCAGCTCCCGGGCTTAAAACCCACAGCCGAAGCAACGCTCCGCGCCGACTTCAGGCTTTGTGGTGTGTGCCGAAGTGCTCTTGCCGCGTCTCAAGCAGGCGCCTGGAGTGTAGGGTTCACTCCCGGCGCCTCTGAATAGAGACCGACTGGAGGGTCGCCCAGACTGGTGGATGGACCGACTGGTGTGTGGACTGTGGTGTGCGCCTGTTTGTGGATAGGCGCACGCCGATTTTGTTCTCAGTGACGGATGATAAGATGAGACGGACATCTACTGTATTGGCAAGTAAGCACTCTTGAGAAGGTGGGGATTTGGGGAATACTTGTGTTTTCTAAGCTACCGGTGTTTGTGGAGTCAAACCACTGTTGTTTTCTTGTGGCACCAAACTTTCATGAAAACTCTTAACTAGTCTCGTGAATCATAATGGATGTTGTTGTGGACTAGGAATGACTAGAACTGCTTTACACAGTTCTGAAAGGCCACGGGACCTGTGCGTGTCTTTCTCGCCCAGTCCACTTCTGAAATGCAAAACTGAAACAACCACTGTTGGTCAGGTGGGGTACCCTTGTCCTCGCATTCATTGACCCGGAACTCTGGAACAATTAAGTTGAAGGCCAGGGATAGCCACAGGTGAGCTCCCGGCGCCCGGTCATCTCTTCTGTCTTCACCGGCGGTGAAGAAGGCCCAAACCGACGGTGCACAATCTTCGCTCAGCGAACCACAGCCCGCAGGCTCGCCACAATGCCCACATCTATCGCTGTGCCTGGTCGAAATGGCCTCATTCACCAGGTCTATCGCTGTTTCTGGATGACCCTCCAGATGACCTAGGAAGGATCCGTTTGTAGGAGCAGTGACTGTTAGTCTCAGTCTTTGGGGTGGAAAGACTGGAGCGACTGAAGAGCTACTGTAAAACATATTGGGGATTGATTCTTTGATGACCATCAGATTGATCTTTAGGATTGTGCATTTTTGTCCCAGGCTCTTAGGTATGTAAAAAACATCCCGCGTTTATAAACTATGGATTCTAATGGACTGATATGAAGTTGGTGCGTGGAAACATGCCCCAGTGGTTGGGCATGGACATTCCTGATGGTCAGCGTAGTGGTCAGCGTTTTCTCGGGGGCCAGCTCGACCTCGCAATCTCCCAAGCGAATGGGCTTGGGACATCGTGGGACCAAGCAGCTTGTAGATATGTTATTTGGAGTCTTGGAGGTTTGAAATGGTTTGAGCATTTGTGGTCCAAAGGTCATTTGATCACATCATTCCTGGTCCGTCCGGCAATTGGACGGGTGCTGCAATAGGCTTTGCTTTTGGAGCTTTGGCACACTGATGCCACATTGCCTTGTTTTGTCATCCGCGCTGCTACCGCCTTTGAGCAACATCCCATGCCCAACTCGGACGTGGACGACGTGACCAGCATCCTTGGACGATCGTGACGATCGCATACGAATCGACGGATCAGTTGGCCCAGATTCGCCGTCGGCAGTCTAGTAGCTTCTTGTTACTAGTAGTGATGCCAGGAGCCGCTAGTAGCGTCCTTGCTCCTAGTAGTAAGGCCAGGAGCCCGTAGTAGTTTCTTGCTCCTAGAATTTAGAAGTTGGATTGCAGGCTGCCTAAGTGGGAAGTAGAAGAGTCTCATAATCGCACCCTGTGGTCCCTGGACTGATCAGCGGACCGATCGGGAACTCGCCTTGAGGTGAAACACACTTGGACTTCTTGCAAGCCGATGCCCGGCTTTTGCCACTTGGCCCCTGTGTATGGTTGCCTCTCCGGTGTGAACACGGGGGGCCGTTTTGACACAGGATGGAGTCTAAAGCTCAAACACCCAAGTACTTAGGCTGACGTAGACGACTGGCGGCTCATTTGTCGCCAACAGGTTAAGAACGGCTTCTCATTGGCCAACAGGTTGGCTTCTCACTTTTTCTCGTTCCATTTGTGTGAGTCGGTGTGTTGTTGTTCCATCCCTCTCGGAGAGATATTATGTAAAAGCACCTTGGACAAGCACGTGAACATTAGTCATTCTTGGTCGTGGGTCACTACACCCCACTGGTCCATGCAGTCGCTCAATAAGGGCCACAATAGGGAACCCCCCTCCCTAGGGCTCCAAGTACCTCCTCAGATGGTATTTGGACCCTCCGGGCACCCACCCCAGTCCCACCTTCTTAGAAAGTACGGCTGGAGCCCCCCTGCATCCTAGGGCCTATTATGGATCCACTCCCAAGGCCCAGTGGAAGTGAGGTGACTCAATGCCCTGGGCCTGGTGTGAAGATGGTCACCGAGGCACCGCACCCTTCGACCTCAGGCGACACCGGATCCAGGTGATGCCACCGTGTCAGGGGTGCCACTATGAAGGTGTTAACCCATAGGGGATGGGTATCCACTATGGGTTTGGTCTGATGATCCAGGTATTTAGATGAATGGGTTTTGTTATATTGATATATTTAGTCCTTCCAAAGGAAGCGGTGGGAGCCTCGGATGGTGCTCCACTCACCACGGGCCTGGGGTTCGTTGATGCTCTCCACCGGTGCCCTCGACACGGGCGCCCTATCACGGCGGACCATTCGACCCGTGAACCGTACCAGCAACCCTACCCCAGACACTCCATGTATGGCCTATTTGCAGTCATAGTTGCCGTCATGTCTGTCTACATCGCGGTGCAACGAGTGCTTGGGCATGAACCATGCATTGAGTAGACCATACATTGAGTGTTTGGGTATGGACCCAACAAGATGCTCAGATGACTCAGATGTTTTGTTGCTTTGGCCAACTTAGACCCGACGTTGGTGACCCGTCATGTCTTCAAGGCCTCGAGGGCAACGGCCCTCGGGGATGCATGAATTCAGAGGTGGGGACAGTCACCTCAAGACTCAAGACAAGAGGTGGTAGAGTTGTGGTTGTGGTATGTTCTGATGAGCATGATGGTGATCTGGGCGGGAGTCACTATTTTTACATGGAGTGAGGTCAGCCAAAAAACTCATCAAACCTTCTAAATCTTGGAAAGAGGCCGTAGCCTCAGAATGCCTAAGACAAGCAGAGCGCAGAGCCACTTTCACAATGCTTCCTGGCCTCCTTTCAGGTGAATGCCGTGTTTTTATCTCCACCCTGGGCCGATGAGGCGAGGTGTTCTCCGGTTTCCGGGCTAGACTAAGGACGACTCGCCGGAGGGAAGGACGGAAGGTTCCACACCCTTTCGGAAGAGCGCTTCACACCAAACCCCCAAGGGCCCCCAAACAAACAAAGCAAAAACTATAGAACAACTCACTACACTCACTGCTCACCATATTCCATCAAAAAAATACTTAACAAATCCTAACCCGTCTACTTCCCCAAAAGGATACACGTGAGGTCAAACTCCTTGCGAGCTAAATGCTTCGGAATATTTGGACACGCCTTGAGGACCCTTTGTGTTTGTGCGGCTCAGACATTTCTATATGGTACTGTCACTGTTTCTAGCAACTTATGCCAAAATCGCCTTAATTGGTTCGTGTCAAAATCGGCTCAATCGCAACAATCGACCGAGGGCCGGTTGCCATCGCGCTTCTCACTGAGCCGTTTGGGAGAGGACACCTGTTGGGCATTCAGTGGGCGATGCGCGGTTTCGACCGTGGGCGAATTCTTGTTCAATTTCATCAGCAAATTGAAAGGGACATGTGTGAATGTCAAGACATGCAGTGTGCTGTTTGATGAGTGTGGTGCCTTAGGAAGCCTTCGATACTTTAATCTTTGGGCTCCCTGTTTTAGGGCTTTGCGGGGGGAGCATATTTACACCAATACTCCTGTCAGTTGGACCATTGAAGATCCTGATCTCACTTAGTCCCACCGGTGGGCGCTGCGGGCGATCCAGATCTCCACACCAGAACCATCGCACAGTCGAACCGCCACGTAGCAGGTACTGGAGATGTAGGTAGCACGTTGGTTGATATTCAGATGAAAATCGTGCTTACCTTACAGATTTGGCCCAGAGCTGATTACCTTGTGATTCGGCATGATTCGGCTCACCCGGCCAATCTTGTGAGGGGTCGCACCTTCTTCGCACCTGCCCGGTGCATCCCGGTGTGCAGGGCTTGGATGGACGCCAGCTCGTGCGCTCGGCCATGCACTTGGCGCCGGGCAGCCCGGTCCCCACCGGTCACGGTCGATGGTGAATCCTGTGGCCTTTGCGGTGAAGCCGGCCTGCAGAAGGAACACTGAGGGAACATATACATCCACTAATAAAACAACTGCTTGAACAAACCATGGGTGACATGAGGCTATCCTTCTGTGCTAACCGTTACTGACTTCACTGGCTGGGGCATATGATTTTGAGCCAGTGAGTTCAATCCTGTACTGTATACTGTACCACTGCAATATATTTTGTATGGAGGCCCGTCACCACCATCACAAGTTTACACAGATATTTTCGAGTACTGTATATCAGTATATCAACAGCCAGGTTCTTCATTTTGGTGGCATGGCAATAACGACAAGTGCAGCATCCTAGAAAAGAGGACAAGCCTGCGCTGCTGTTCCTGTTGTTGGTTGTTCATCATCCATGCAGGTTGTGGCAATGGATGGGCTTGGGATGGCTTGAAGGCTTGGGCAAACGTCAAACATATTTAAACATATATCATATTCAAAACAAATATCATCCTGCCGCACTTTATTTATGCGAGATGCACATCATCAACCATCCAAGATCATCCAAAAGGGCTTTCCCAACCTTTCCCATTGTTTTCCAAGTCATTGCTGCTTTGTGTTAAAGATATCTAATTATAGTTTTCTCACCCCATTTATCTCCATGTCATGTTCACCCAATGAACTTTATCCAATCTGCTGACCGGAATCCAGCCATGACTCAGCTTTGACCGACAACCAAGGCCACAGGTGGCGCTCTATCTCCCGCGAGCAGCTCGTCTCGGTAGAGAAGCCAACGGAAGAAGCCGATGAGGAGCCAGGTCTACCGTCAATTTGAGGTGGTCCAGATGTGTGAGGTCTTGATCATGTGGGGTTGTGGCGAACAGTTGTGTGTTTGAGGTGTGTGTATGTGTGTGTGTGTGT